CTCTGTCATCCAGGCTGAAGTGCAGTGGCACAATCACAGCCCACTGCAGTCTCAACCACCCAGGCTTAAGCAATCCTCCAACCTCAGCCTCCTGAGTAGCTGGAACTACAAGCACATCACGCCCAGCTAATTTTTGTATTTTTAGTAGAGTCAGGATTTTGCCACGTTGTCCACGCTGGTCTCCAATTCCTGGGCTCAAGTGATTCACCTGCCTCAGCCTTCCAAAGTGCTGGGATTACAGGCATGAGCCACCACACCCAGACTATGTTGTATTTTTCAATAAAAATCAGCAAATATGCAAAGTATGATCCTATTTATTTATTTATTGAGATAGGGTCTCATTCTGTCACCCAGGCTGGATCATAGCGCAATGCAGCCTCAACCTCCTGGTCTCAAGTGATCCTCCCACCTCAGCCTCCCAAGTAGATGGGACTCTGGGTACATGCCATGATGCCCAGCTAATTTTTACATTTTTTTATAGAGACAGGGTCTCACTATATTGCCCACGCTGGTCTCGAACTCCTGCTCAAGCAATTCTTCCACCTCAGCCTCCCAAAGCATTGGAATTACACACAGGAGCCATGGAGCCAGGCTCCAACTTTTTTTTTTTAATAAAGCATATACTCGGCCAGGTGTGGTGGCTCATGCCTGTAATCCCAGCACTTTGGGAAGCCAAGGCAGGCGGACCACCTGAGGTCATGAGTTCAAGACCAATGTGGCCAACATGCTGAAACTTCATCTCTACTAAAAATACAAAAATGAGCCAGGGGTGATGGCTAATTTTTGTAATCCCAGCACTTTGGGAGGCCGAGGCGGGCGGATCACCTGAGGTCAGGAGTTCCAAGACCAATATGGCCAACATGGTGAAATTACATCTCTACTAAAAATACAAAAATTAGCCAGGTGTGTCGGTGGGCACCTGTAACCCCAGCTACTCAGGATGCTGAGGCAGCAGAATCACTTGAACCCGGTGGGCAGAGGTTGCAGTGAGCGAAGATCGCACCACTGCACTCCAACCCAGGTGACAGAGCAAGACTCCATCTCTGAACAAATAAATAAAGAGTATTACCTAGTCTTAAATAAAACACCTACTCTACTCCTTAACGTGAGCCCTATTTCATACTTCAAACCCAAATAGTTAACTGGATTACAATTCAATTATGCTATGTCCAGCATAGTTATCAAAAAATTAAAACTTACCAAACATTGTTTACAAATGGTTAAAAAAAAGGCCAGGTGCCGTGGCTCACGCCTGTAATCCCAACACTTTGGGACGCCAAGGCGGGCGGATCACAAGGTTAGGAGATCGAGACCATCCTGGCTAACACAGTGAAACCCCGTCTCTACTAAAATACAAAACACTAGCCGGGCGTGGCGGCGGACGCCTGTAGTCCCAGCTACTCCAGAGGCTGGGACAGGAGAATGGCGTGAACCCGGAAGGCGGAGCTGGAAGTGAGCTGAGAATGCACCACTGCACTCCAACCTGGGCGACGGTAAGACTCCGTCTCAAAAAAAAAAAAGGGTAGAAAAAAATAAAAATTAAAAAGTACAAAAAAAAAATTTTTTTTTTTGAGATGCAGTCTTACTCTGTCATCCAGGCTGGATGGAGTCCAATGGCACAAAATTGGCTCACAGCAACCTCCACCTCCCGGGTTCAAGCAATTCTAAAGTCTCAGCCTCCAGAGTAGCTGGGACTACAGGCGCGCGCCACCACATCACGTTGATTTTTGTATTTTTAGAAGAGAAAGGGTTTCACCATGTTGATTAGGTTAGTCTCAACTCCCAAACTCGTGACCCGCCCGACTCGGCGCCCAAAGTGCTGGGATTACAGGTATGAGCCACCGCGCCCAGCCACAAAAAAAAATTTTAAGCAGCATCTTTGAGAGAAACTAAAAAAACGTCAAGTAAACTCAGTAGGAAACACCAGCACAAGCGGTTTAACATTAAAATTGTAAAAACTAATGTGATACATTTGATTGAGTTAGGAAAAAAAGGATCACATTCCTAAATACTTGATAGTTTGGGCAAAATTACATCAAAATCTACCACAAAGATTACATGGTGATATTCCCTACATGTCCTCACTCTCTTTGCCTTCCTTCAGGTTATATCTCCACTCTCCTTTTTGTAAAAAATAGCTGCTTCTAAAATCTATCAGAAATCTACTAATTTACCAGTCAACACCATGGGTACCACAACACTTAGCTTTTAAGGACGCTCTATTTGCTCAAAATGACAACTAAGAAAGAACAGGTATTTGCTGACATACAGGTTTCTCGCAAGGAAAAATAAACAAAATAAGACAGGTTTGCTTAAGGGCAGAGAACTTTACAATCTGTAAATGCCTGCAGACTGCTTCTTCCCAGCAGGCATTAACCCTTCATAATATACTTAACCACCCCCACCCCCACCCCCACAAAGTGTCTTATTAACAAAGGAAATCTTAACAGTAAGACATCATTTAAAAAAAAAAAAAAGGACTGGGAAATCAACAATTAATTCAAAGCTAACATTTTAGACGTAAAGGCTTCACTTCAGACCACTCCAAACCTTCAAGAAAGGTTTACACTTTCTACATATATTTTACACTTACGAGGGTAGATACAGGGACCAATTCCCATCACGATACAAGTACATATTGAAATAAACCTATTATTCTCCATGTTCTCACACCATTTCTCCCCATACAATAAAAGTCACTCAGGCTAATACTAAGAGAGACACTCCTGGTGATCACTAAATAGACTGCACTAGTAACCAGGAAAGGGAAGCAGAGGTGTTATTGTTGTTCCAATATAGTTCTAGAGGCAACTCCATGTGACTACTGCTGGTCCAGCCCACATTTAAAGGGAGGACAGAGGAAACCAGAGCAGCAGGAAACAGGAGGGGTAATTACCACAACCCTTTCCCATGGCCTCATTCTCTCCCATGCCACCACTTTCGGGCATATTTCAATCACAACAAAAAACCTTCCTTCTCTGAAAGGTTTCATAATTATTGAGGGTGAGCGGCAACAGGGAAGCAAATGGGGGAAGTCGGCGCTGTGGGAAAATCTCTCGCCACATATGTCAACTAGCCATTAGTAGGAAAATCAGGAGTACACTGGCAGCAAGCAAAAGGGCAGTTTGGGAAACTAATCACTTCTGCCTAATGATAAGAGAAGCCTTCAAAGCAGTGGAAGGTCGGCCCTAGCGAAGGGGCTCCACAGGTGAGTGTACTGAAAGAAACTATCATCTCCAGGGAGTGGAATACATTCCCTTTCCTGAGGTAAAAGGGGAACACACCAATGTCGGATACGGGACAGTTCAGGTATCATGTTCATCTTCCTTCCACCCCTCCCAAACTGACACTAAAAAGGATACACAATTCAGAGCGAAAAGTGAGGAATGCAATAACTAGCCGCATACCCCTTGGTGAAAAAAGTGCTGTCATAACGGAAGAGGAATATAAGAATGGGTTCACCCAAGAAATTAATTATATGCCCTTGAAATAAAAGATGACCTTTGGATACCTTATGGAGACGTGAAAAAACCCTCAACTAGCTGGGCACCGTGGGGCACACCTGTAATCCCAGCTACTCGGGAGGCTGAGGTGCAAGAATCGCTGAAGCCCAGGAGCGGGAGGCCAGCCTGGGCAATAGATGGAGACCATATCTCTAAAATGAATAGCAATTTTTTAAAATCTCTCAACTGTTAGAATACGCTGGTGCTGTAGAAAGATTATAAGCCTCAATACTGGCAAACCATGTACCTTCCTTGAATGTGAGATTAAAAAAATATTCAACAGAAGTAGTAGTAAATGACTGGATTACATCAAACAGGAAATAACAGTAATAATGATGGGATCAACCCTTAAAGCGAGCAAGGGTTAGAGACCAGAGTGGTGACAGTTGAGAAGCGTGGGCAACTAATTAGACTAAAAACTCGGGGAAAATGTGGAAAAGCCGAGTGGGAAAGTGATTCAGAAGCAAACAGAACTGAGTTGTAATGCACCAATGAAAGAATAACATTTTGAATATGTATTATTAACAGACTGAGCTTTGCGGTTTACACAGCGCTCAAAAACCTACACTAAAGAATGAACTGTGATATAACCAGACTACAGGAACCGGGGGTGAGGAGGAAAACTGAGTCCCAATTGAGACCAATGCCCTACAGAATTGAAAAGGAGAAGTAGAATTGAACTGTGCCTCCGGGTTAGCCAGGAAAGATTAGAGAGCGCAGAAGTTGGGGTTCTAAAAGGGCCAGTCCCAAGACTAGCTACGGGCGTGAAAGCGGAAAGGTGATCAGATGGGACCGACAGCGTGGCGGGGAAGCTCCAGTCTACTGGCAGGCACCGAGGTGGGAGAGAAAACCACACCCTCCAGGGCAGAAACCCGAAGGGGGGAGGGGAAGCGCCCCTGGGGTTGGGTGGGGCCCGGCCGACCCGGACGGGGGAAAGTAGGAAGAAGCACAAGGCAAAGTGAGGGGAAGAGGCAGTAGGGCGCCCGGGCCTGGACACACAGGGACCGTGGAGCTGACGAGTGAAGCTCGGCCCGGTCCTCACGGATGGGCGCCGGGGCAGTCTGCAGGCGGTGGGGTTTCAAACGAGCTGAACCCAGAACTAGAAAGCGCATGCTGCAGCGCTCAGGCCCCTGGAACAGGGAAGGAGAGGGACAGGATGGCAATTACCGCTGCTGCTCTCGGAGGACTCAAGACCTGCTGCCGCCGCCGCCGCTCGTTACCTGCCAATGTGCCTCTTACAAAGCGGCGGCGGCGGCACAGGCTGCCCAACCCGTCACGTGACCTCGCGTCACGAGCGAAGGAGGAGCCACAACACGTCGCTCGTGCGCGGCTTCACAGCCCGCCCAGACGGCGCGCAGCCTCTTCTAGCTGCCACCTTCACCCCAACCCCGCTAGGCCGACCGCGTGGAGGTGGTGGGGGAAACCACAGAAAAGAAAAAATAAGGGAGACTTGATAATATGTATTGTACTCGGAGTCATCAGGAGAGGATTACCCACCGTATCCAGCGTGCCTACAACTGCAGCTCCTCGTCGCGCCATGATGACCTCACAAGGCACCATAGGTTGCTCCCCTGTGGCCGCCTCTCTCATCACGTGATGTGGTCCAGCCACTCAGGGCAAGCCTGGCCTCCCAAACGTTGCACGAGGGGACCACGAGTACCAACATGCTGCACAGCCAAGGCGACCCCTACCTCAGCCTTTCTCCCGCGGGCTCCCAGACGCACCCCCTAGAGACCTGAGTGCCGAGGAAAGGCCAGGCGGAAAGCGGACTAAGCTGGCTTGAAGGAGTAATACTACTGGACACCGCCCGCCAGGTGGCGGAGCGTGGTGCCTGCTGGGAGGTGTAGTCCTGGCCGGGGGTGGGGTTCTGCTCCCACGTTCCTGGGCTCGCTCTGCGCTCTGCGCCCTGCCCCCTGCGCGGGAAAACGCCAACGGCTCGCAGCGAGAGCCTCGGCAAGGCGGAAGGTCAGCCCACTTTTAGTCTTGTTCGGTGAGGTTGTACTTTTGCCCTCCCAAGCCCCTTCTGGGTGAAAAGACTAGCATCTATTGAACGCCTACTCCAGGTCCGCCGTTTATACAATCATTTCTGTTATATCATATAATCAACCCCTTGAGTCCAGGATTTCCCATATTTAAGGATAAAAAAAAGAAGCTTAGAGTTGCTTGTTGACCGAAGAAACCCAGGTTTTCTGCATTAGAAAATTAAAGACCTCCTCTCAATAGGATCTGACCTGTTGTCAACTCCAAAAATTACATATAAATAAGATGATGGTTTATAATTGTAGCATAGTGTTTTAAAAGTATTTTCCATTTACTGGCCTGTTTGGATGTGAGGGCGATCTGGCTGCGATATCTGTCACCCCATTGATTGCCAGGGCTGATTCCGCTGATCTGGCTGGCTAGGCGGGTGGCTCTTCCTCCCGCACCGCTCCTGAGGCTGCATACTCGGTCGAAAAGGAGGAGCATCCCCCATAGAGGAGGACAGGTCAAGGATATAGGAGTAGCTGCACGCCCCTGTTAACAAGCTCTCAAGGTCCTCCAAACAAGCTCTCAAGGTCTACTTACTGGCCTGTTTTATCCCAAGCTGGTTACATATAAGGACTTTGCAGTCCTGGCATGCCTTACCTCAATTGGAGCTTTCCTCTGTAGTAACACCACTTCACCGGCTTGTGAAAATTAAATAAGATTATGTAAAATGCCTGCTTGGCACATAATAAACCCTCAATAAGTATCAGTAATCATTTTCACACTCTACCCGTTAGGCCCAACAGGTCTAAGTAAGGTAGAAAGAGGAAATTAGCTTATACTGAACGTTGTACAGGACACTATGCTAATTACTAATTTGCTAGTTATTAAGTAAAACAATTGAAATCTTAAACAGTCCTGTCTAGTTCGAAGAAAGCCTTTGTTATTCATCTGAATTAAAGAATGCTGCCAGGCGTGATGGCTCACGCAGGTAATCCCAGCACTTTGGGAGGCGGAGGTGGGTGGATCACCTGAGGTCAGGAGTTTGTGACCAGCCTGGCCAACATGGTGAAACCCCGTCTCTACTAAAAAATACAAAAAATTAACCAGGCGTGGTGGTGGCCGCCTGTAATCCCAGCTACTTAGGAGACTGAGGCAGGATAATCACTTGAACCCCGGAGGTAGAGGTTGTCGTGATCCAAAATTGCGCCACTGCACTCCAGCCTGGGCAACAGAGTGAGACTCCATCTCAAAAAAAAAAAAAACAACTTATCATCATCGCCACTGACATGTGGGTGAATCTTATCTCACCTCTTTTGACAGTGAGCTAGGATTGTGTCTTGTCTGTTCGTCTTCCTCCTCTTTGTCCTGCTGCTTTATAGAAATGTGTGGGAGTGTCAAAGATAAAAACCACCCTTGAGAGTCAAAGACTTAATGGACAGATCAGGAGAAAAGGATTCTGAAAGGAATATACAAACTTGATAACAGTGGCTGGCTCTGAGGAGTGGGAAAGAGGTTTGTGATTGGGGTTGCTGGCCCAAAGGGACCGCAGTCTAACGTTTTCGATTTTTCCTTGGAGAAGGCACTGGTATATAACTTACATAGTTATAAGATTAACTTGGCACGGTGGCCAAGCACTTTGGGAGGCTGAGGCAGGCAGATCACAAGGTCAAGAGATTGAGACCATCCTGGCCAACATGGTGAAACCCCGTCTCTACTAAAAAATACAAAAAACTAGCCGGGCGAGGTGGCAGGCGCCTGTAGTCCCAGCTACTCAGGAGGCTGAGGCAGGAGAATGGCCTAAACCCGGGAGGCAGAGCTTGCAGTGAGCTGAGATCCGGCCACTGCACCCCAGCCTGGGCGACAGAGCGAGACTCTGTCTCAAAAAAATAAAATAAAATAAAATAAAAAATACAAAACTTAGCTGGGTGCGGTGGTGCACCTGTGGTGTGCACCTGTAGTCCCAGCTACTCGGGAGGCTGAGGCAGGGGAATCACTTGAACCCGGGAGGCAGAGGTTGCAGTGAGCCAAGATCGAGCCACTGCACTCCAGCCTGGCAACAGAGCGAGATTCCTCTCAAAAAAAAAAAAAAAAGAAGATTATGAGAAGGAAGAACAGAGACCACATGTTAGCTCTGTGACCCTGTATAAGCTGTGTCACTTCTCCAGGCCTCAATTTCTTATTAAATTCATTTTCAAAAACATCTGCCTTTTCTGTGTCAGGGACACTGTGCTGGTTATTTTTATTACATTATCATTTATTAAGGGAGAAGTCCTACCAAGAACCTAGGATCAGAGAAAATAAGAACATCAAACCCTAAAATCTCACTGATTACTGTTATTGGGACCTGGATGCAACAGAACTAGCCTTTCCCTCCCCCTCCCTCACCCACACAAAGGATTCATTCGCTTTATCCACCCAGTTTGACTCTGAGACATTGACTCTGAAACTAATTTCACATCCTGTGACTGCAAAGGACATCCCCATCTTTGTGTGTGTGTGTGTGTGTGTGTGTTGAGACAAAGTCTTGCTCTGTTGCCCAGGCTGGAGTGCAGTGGCGCCATCTCGGCTCACTGCAACCTCTGCCTCCCGGGTTCATGCCATTCTCCTGCCTCAGCCTCCCAAGTAGCTGGGACTACAGGCTCCCACCACCATGCCCGGCTAATTTTTTAAAATATTTTTTGGTAGAGATGGGGTTTCACCATGTTACCCAGGATGGTCTTGATCTTCTGACCTCATGATCTGCCTGCCTCGGCCTCCCAGAGTGCTATGACTACAGGCGTGACCCACCGGGCCCAGCCATCTCCATCTTTTTTACCAGTTTTTGTTTGCTTCAGTCTTCTTGCTGGACTAAAGTGAGCACATAATGTCACGGAAGATACACTGGAGAAATTATCAGAAGCCTGGGTTCTGAAGTCTGTACAAATGGGTGGCAATATGATAGATAGGTGTGTGAAATCATTCTTTTTTTTTTTAGACAAGGTCTTGCTGTGTTGCCCAGGCTAGAGTGCAGTACCTATCCACAGGTGTAATCATAGTGTACTATAGCCTTTAGCTCCCGAACTCAGGCAGTCTTCCCATCTCAGCCTCCAGACTAGCTGAGAATACAGGCAGTATGCCACTGCACCTGGCTCTGGAATCAGTAATTCTTAGATGAGGCCCATCCTCAAAAACAAACAGTAATAGTAATAGCTGGCTGAGATTTAGGAGGATACAATCAAGGCATATAATCTCCAAAGCAGAACAGGTGTGGTGGCTCACTATCACTCTAGGAGGCCGAGATGGGAGGCTCACTTGGGGCCAGGAGTTCAAGACCAGCCTGGGCAATATAGCAAGACTCTGTCTCTATTTATATATACACATATTTATTTTCTTAATAAAAAACTCCAAAGCAGAATTTTCACAAACTAGATAAAGCTAATCACAGTTGAAATCTTTTTTTTCTTTTTTTGATACAGGGTCTCACTCTGTTACCCAGGCTGGAATGCACCTTCACCTCCTGGGTTCAACCAATTCCCGTGCCTCAGCCTCCCAATTAACTGGGACTACAGTCAGGCAGCATCGTACCCAGCTAATTTTTGTACTTTTAGTAGAGACGGGTTTTGCTATGTTAGCCGGACTGGTCTCAAACTCCTGGCTTCAAGTGATCTGCCCACCTTGGCCTCCCAAAGTGTTGGAATTACAGGCATGAGCCACCGCACCTGGTCCACAGTTGAAATCTAATGTACTCTCTTAATTGTAAAATAAATGTCATAATCAAATGCATTATACCCTGCCTAAAGAATGTGATAACATGAGGTCAGGAGATCGAGACCATCCTGGCTAACATGGTGAAACCCCATCTCTACTAAAAATACAAAAAAATTTGCCAGGCATGGTGGCGGGCACCTGTAGTCCCAGCTACTTGGGAGGCTGAGGCAGGAGAATGGCATGAACCTGGGATGCGGAGCTTGCAGTGAGCTGAGATAGCGCCACTGTACTCCAGCCTGGGCGACAGAGCGAGACTCGGTTTCAGAAAAAAAAAAAAACGTGATAACAGAGAGGAAATAGGCTTCCTAGAGTCTTTTTTTTAAAAAAAAAAGTGAACCTTAATAAGCAAAATGTATGCCTTGCAAGAAACAGGGTGGCCTAACCAGCACTTCAAACATTCTGACCCCTTAGCAGATTTCTGCCTTTAGCAGATGAAGATGGGTGTTCCATGCCTATTAACCATGAGGACCCAAGATTCCCTGACCTGTGTTCCATGTTTTCAAGCAACCTACTGACTAGAATTTGGCTTCTGTTTAATACCTTCCTCCAGAGAAGTGAATGTGCTATTGACCAGAAAACCATATGTTATTTGACTTGACTGAAAATTAGTGTACTGGCCAGGCGCAGTGGCTCATGCCTGTAATCCCAGCACTTTGGGAGGTCGAGGTGGGTGGATCACCTGAGGTCAGGAGTTCGACACAAGCCTGACTAACGTAGTGAAACACCATCTCTACTAAAAATACCAAAAAATTAGCAGGGCAAGGTGGCACATGCCAGTAATCCCAGCTACTAGGGAGGCTGAGGCAGGAGAATTGCTTGAATCCAGGAGGCAGAGGTTGCAGTGAGATCACGTCATTGCACTCCAGCCTGGGCGACGGAGCGAGACTCCTTCAAAAAAAAAAAAGAAAGAGAGAA